GTCGTTCTCCTTGATCGAGTACGAGGCGAGGTCGCGGCCGCCGTCGAGCACCTTGCCTTGGAAGATGAGCTTGATGCCCTCCGCCTCCCAGCCGTCCTTGGTGCCGTGCTCCGATGCGGCAACCAGCTCCTTGACCCGCGAGACGAGCATGTCGGGCGCGGCGTCGACGTGGAACATGGAGCCCTTGAGCGTCTTGAAGGCGACCTTCATGGCTGGAGAGGCGCCTGGCGCGGGCGCGGGGAGTCTCCTCGATCAAAGGCTCGGGGAGGGCGTCTAAACCGCCCGGCGGGCGAGGAGGAGAAGGCGATGGCGGATCGCGTGGGGAGGGAGGAGGGTTGGCAGGCGGCGGAGAGGGAGGCGGGAGGGGTGGGAGACTCCTACAACGCGGCGGATGAAGCAGGGGGTTGGGGATTGTGGCCGGTGGAGCGGGCGGGGAGAGACGGGCGGCGGAGCGGCCGAGCGGAGGCGGGGTGGGGGGTGAGGGGGTGAGGGGGATGCGGTTGGGAGTGGGATCGGCAGTGGTGGTGACGCGCGGGCGGAATGGGTGTGTGCGTGGGATGGAGCGGGACGCGGGCGGGAGAGGGCAGGACGGGTTGGAGAGGCGTTTGCGGAACAGAGCGCGGGTCGAGGGACACGTTGGTGGTGTGCGAGGCCGCGGCAAGGAGGGAACGGGAGAGGCCTCCTCTCGCGCCGAGCGGTGACACTGGTTGGCTTGCCGGGAGTCGGGAGCGCTCTCGGGCGGGGCCGGGGGAGTGCGCGCCGGGGTAGGTGGCTTCTGGTGCTCGTCTGGATGCCCTTGGGAACGCAGAAAAAGTATTGGATTTGCCCCCACTTGGCCTGTACAAGGGCATGTGCGAGAGACTGCCAGCGACAAGCTGGAGGCAGGTCGCTAGACTGAGAGGAGACCGCCAGTGGATGTGGGAGTCCACCGCGCACCGCGCTGCGAGCCTGTCGTGTCCCTTGTCAGGAGCAGGAGAGCCCCACCATGATTTTGTCATCGAAATGGACGTCACGCCTCAGACTCCAGGCATGAACCAACACGGCGGGACTATCATTGGCCGCCATCAGTCAGGCGTTGCACTTGGATGGGCGCTGATTTTGACCAACTCTCTGCACGTTGTCCTGACACTGTACGGCGCCACGGGATACGACATGAGGGCGCCCCCCTGGAAGCCGGCCTGCGTGCAGGACGACGTCACCTTCCTGGGCTGGTGGGGCGGCGAGCTCATGTCCGCTCGCGCTCTCACGGTCGGCCAGAAGCAGCGAGTGGTGTTCTCGCGTCGTGGCCAAGACCTCTCCTTGTACGTGGATGGCAGCGAGAGCTGCAAGGCCAGCCTGGACTCCTACACCGACCCGAGTGGCTTTGTTCCGGTGAGCATCGGCGCGCACTACATCGGCGACCAGCTCACTAAAGCGCCATTCTTTGGCAAGATCGAAAACACCGTCGTCAAGCGCGGCTCTCTGGCGCCTCCGCCCGCTCTCGCACCATAAAGCTCGCACCATAAAGCACGCGTCCTTCGGCACGGTCTCGTATGGCATGCCTATCGTCGCGCTCGAGGCTGTTGGCGTTGCATGTTCGGTCGTCCCTCGCGCGCTGGCACGTGCCAGGAGGTGCTGTTGCCTGTGTTGCCCGGGGCAACCCCCCCCCCCCCCCCCTTCATAACCCCCGGCCACACCTTGTGTTCATACCCCCCAGCTAGGTCTTCTTTGCGAACCCGTCCGGTTGCCAAGGCTATCTCTTCGCCCTGCCAGAGGCTCTGATTGTGAATAGTGGAGGTCTCAAGTGGTGGCCAGAGTTATTCTCCGGTCCTCCTTCTATTGTTTATATATATCGTTCGTCGGCCTACACAGACCCTTTTGCCGCGAAACCGGGCAAGGCCGGGAACCACGGAACCACCGTTGTCTTCCCGCGATGGTCGTCGCCGCGCCAGCACTGTCCACGGCCGCCAAGCGCGTGCTCGTCCTCGGCTGGTTCGGAAGCACGCCTAGCGCTATGAGGCACGAGAGCGGCTACGAAGAGGACATTGACGACAGAAAGAAAATTGCCGCGGGCCTGGGGAGCTAAAGTAGATCACAAAGAAATGCGCGAAACCGGGACGGCGCACAACGGGCCGCGCAGCTGTGGTCGACAGCTGGGCGGCGGACGCCTCAGCTCCCTCGTCGCTCCATCTCTAGGCCTGGACTCTCCGCCATGTGACCCATGAAGTCGGCCCCGACGACGCAGGGCTCGACGATGCGACGCGCGGCAGCCACCCTTGGGCGCGCCTTCTTCTGCAACGCCTTGGCCTCGCGGTGCATCTGCAGGAAGGCTGCAAAGACCGCGCGCCCCTCCTCCTCGGTGCCCCCCGCGGCGACGACCCACTTGCACACGTCGAGCTCCCACTCGCACGCGAGCAGCTTTCCCGAGAGGCGCGCGAAGCAGCTCGCGAAGTGGGCGTACCGGCCGCCGTCGAGCGCCTCGCACCACGCCACGACCCTGGCCGCCGGCCACCTCTCGACGTCGCTGAAGCCCGCCCGCTCCTTGTCGGCGCGGCTCGTCTCGACCATCTGCGCGGCGTACTCGAGCGTGTTGAGCGTCTGCCTCCCCTGCGAGCGAGGAGGCGCGACGTGCGCGAGGAAGCAGAGGGCCGACGGCGTCGCGCCGGCGTCGACGAAGCACGACTTGAGGACCGTCGTCAGCTTGGAGCGGCGGTACGGCACGTGGGAGTCGTCGCCGTGCCGCGCCTTGAGCAGCTGCAGCCGGATGCAATCCTTGAGGTGCCCCAGAGAGGCGTTGATCGCCTTCATCTCCTCGACCCGCTCGGCGTCCTCGGTGATCGCGGTCTGCTTGCGCTCCGAGCCAGCGAGATCGACGAGCCGCAGCGACCCACCCTCCACCTCCGCTCCCTCGCCGCCGCCCTCGCCGCCGCCCCCGCCGCCGCCCTGGCCGCCGCCCTTGGCGCGCTCGCCGCCGCCGACGACGACGACGACGCGCAGCACACAGATCGCATGGGAGCGCGACGAGCAGTCGTTTGCATTCGTCGGCGCGGTGGCGCGCGCGGCGTTGCCTGCGGCGAGGACAGCGCCGACGGCCTCGACCGACGCGGCCGCCGCCTCGTGCGCCCCGCACACGACCGTCTCTCCCGTCCCGTCGTCGCGCAGGGCCAGCTCTGCTCGCTGCTCGTGCAGCAGGTCGTAGCAGCGCTCGCCCCGCAGCTCGACGAAGGAGATGCGCAGCTCGCGGACCGACGGACCGGCGGCGGCCTCGTCAGAGAGCAGCGCAGCGGCGCACAGCCGCTGCATGGCCGTCATCGTGTGCGTCTTGCCCGAGCCGGTCGCGCCATACGCCAGCACTGTCGACGAGCCGCCGCGCAGCGCGAGAGCAACGAGCGGGGACACCGCGGCATCAAAGACGGCATTGCTGCTCGCGCCCGGCCCAAAGACCCTGTCCGGCTTGAAGACGCGCGCCGCCATCTTGCCTGTCGGCCGCCCCAACTTACGCGCCTCCGAGAGGACGTGCACCTTGCCGGAGACCTCGTCGGCAACGAGCGCATCGTACTCGAACTGAGCAAAGGAGACGGCAGTGTTGCCGGGGATGCGCTGCCCGAGCGCGACCCGCTCGCGGGCGAGCAATGACCGCACGCGGACGCACACGCTGCTCGTGCTCGGCGCTCTGGCTGGCGGCGGCGGCGAAGCTGCCGACTTGGCCAGGATAGCAGAGTGAACCGCGGCCGATTTGGCTTGCCAGTCGATGTCTGCCTCCGCCACCGCCGTCGTCGCCGCCTCCGCCTCCGCCCTTCCCGTCCGTGCAAAGTCAAGCTCAGGACGCAGGCTGACTGAATTTAGGGCCCACGAGACAGGCGGTTGATGCGGAGACCGGGGGGAGGGCTCTGGCATCGGCGAAGCCTCGCAGCCTGGGCCCGAAGACCAAGTAACACTTGGAGCGCAAGCCCGCGGCGTGTTTCTTCCTCTTCGCCGTTCACGGATTTCAACAAAACTTTGGCAAATCTCTTGTGAGTTTGTGTCTTTGTGTCGCTCCAAGGTGCCGTCACCTCCTTCCCGCGTCCACCCATACCGCGCCGGTGTCCAGTCCGGGCAGCAGCCTGACTGTTGAGCACTTGAGCACTGGATAGGGTCGATTCCGCATGGTACGGGAGGACCCCTCGATCGTCTCGCCCTCCCTCACTGGTGCGTTCATTGGGGGGGGTCATAACAAACACGGTACAGGATCGAGGTGCACGCTGCCGAAGCAGTGTCGTCCCCCCTCTCCCCGACGGCGATGGCGGTGTGACCGATCGAGCTACAAGAGGAGCTTGTTCAGCATTATCCGGGGGGGTCGAGCAGTCCCTCACTTCCACAATGGGTGAGCCTCAGGCCTGACTGTTCTTCACCTTGCCGGGTTCTATTTCTTATTCCTATCGTTGGGTGCGTTTCTATCTCTCGAGGTTCTCGAGGTGGATATCCTTTGGCCGCGTTGGGTAGCGAGGATTGGTGTGACGCGTTTCTATCGTTGGGTAGCGAGGATTGGTGTAAGCGGTCCACGCAGGCGTGTGCCGTGCGTGTCTTCTGACGGCCGACCGTCAGTGCACGGAGTTGCCCCTTCTCCGACTGCCCCGGCTGTTCCTCCCATGCCGCCGCCGCCCTCACCGCCTCCCACGCCGCCGCCTCCGGCACCGCCGCCGCCTGCCCCACCGCCGCCCTCGCCGCCGCCGCCGTCGCTGTCGCCCTCACCGCCTCCCTCGCCGCCGCCGCCCTCTCCGCCGCCCTCTCCGCCGCCCTCGCCACCCCCCTATCCGGCCGCCCTCGCCGCCCCCCTCTCCGCCGCCCTCGCCGCCGCCCTCGCCGCCGCCCTCTCCGCCGCCCTCGCCGCCCCCCTCGCCACCGCCTTCGCCGCCGCCCTCTCCGCCGCCCTCGTCACCGCCCTCGCCACCACCGCCTTCCTTCCCGCCAGCCGTGCCCACCGAAGAGCCACAGGCTCCTCCACCGCCTCCCTCATCGCCACCGCCGTTTCCACCACCACCATCGGCGCCGCCGCCGCTGCCGCCGCCGCCCCCTCCGTGGCCACCTCCTCCTTCACCTCCCCCTCCGTCGCCGCCGCCCTCCCCACCGCCGAGCACACCGCCCTTCCCGCCCTTGACGAGCACACTCCACTACGAGGCCCAACTGCCTGTCAGCGAGGTGAAGGAGGGCGCCCAAGATGCTGCATACACATCCCGCTATTCCAACTGGCACTCGAGAAGACACATTCGGCTGCATCGCATCGAGTGCACGCCCTGGTGTCGAAGCGCTTCGACGCACGAGGTCGTCAGGACCCCCGGCTTGCCAATGTTCTTATTTTTTGGTTCCTGCGTTTACTCTTAGGAGGACACCACCATCGGCAACATCGTCGACACCGTAGCGAAGCGCCGTCGTCCTCAGGCGCCACGTGTCTGCCTCCGCATTGCTATGTGGCTGCAGGCACATATCGAGCGCGCTCATGATGGCCGCTGCGTCTGCCTCCCTGGCCATCCTCGGCAGCGTAATCACTCTTCGGTGGTCATCAGACCCGGCGCGTCAACGTGGACCACGCTCTCACGCGGGTCATCCTTCGGCCACGTCACCATCACGAGACCCCTGGGCGCCATTGACGCAGGACCCCTCACCCGTGCGAGGGAGGCCAGGAGTGCCTCTGTCTCGCGCGCGCCCCACAGGCTCACGACGGCAGCCACTGGAGGAAGCGACGCCCACGCCTCGCCCGACAGCAACGGGCGCACATCCCCTCGCACGATGAAGCACGGTGCTCCCTGCAACTGCAATTCTGCAGCTAGCGAGTCCTCGCCGCGTATGAGCACCACCCACTGGGCAGGCGCTCCCTGCTTGAGGAGCGCCGCCTCGATTGGCGCCCGCACGTCCGCAAGGAACTCCTTGAGCAAGCAGGACCGCTCGCCCTTTTCGTCGCCGGCAAGTAGCAAGACCGTGCCTGGACACGGCGCCTCCGGGGCGAGCGAGCCCCGCAGCATGGCGTTGAGCCAGAGGAACATGAGCTCATAGCCAGGCACGTCATGTGCTGCCGCCGCCTCAGCAGAGCCTCCCTTGCAGCGCCCGCTTCGTCGGCGGCGCTGCGGCTGGCGAGCGCACGGAACGCATCCGAGGCCTCTGGCGAGGGCTCAACGGCGGCTGCCGCACCGAAGCATCCGCTTGCCTCGCGCAACTCGGCTGGAGTGCGCTCGGCCGCCTCCCATCCCGCCTCTCTGCCAGAGAGCACGCGGCCTCGCATCTCGAGGGCGTCGGTGCGATAAAGTCGCCTCGGGGATCGCGGCGAGTACGCGTGCCGAGAGAGCCTCTTTTCCGCGCCCCCCCCGCAAGGCGCGCGATACACGCCTTGATCCCTTCATCCGACCACCAGTGCGGATAGGACGTCGCACGGCACTCTTCGCGTCGGAGGCAGTCAAAGGCGCTGGCGGCGCTGATGGCCCATTCCCGCGATCCGCTCACCTGCCGATCCATCGCGTGCATGCACGCCGCGGCGCCTGGAAGGAATCCGGCACGCGCGAGAGCGGCGCCGACCGAGACCAGCATACGCATCAGGCAACCTTGGACAGAGGGCAATCGCCTTTCTGCACATGTACATGTGGACGGCCGAGCCAAGGTGGCCGTCATCTCTGAGAGCGCCCGCCTCGGCCCAAAGCGCAGCATACTGCTCAAGCACAAAATCAGAGTGCCCGTCATGCGCCTTGGCGTCATTCCCGACACTGAGCACGGAGGTTTGATCATCTTGCTTCTCAGGTGCCTGCGCCGGCTCTGGGAATCGAGAGCTATCTGGGTCCCGCAGGCACTTCTTCAGTAGCGTCGAGAGTGAGAGAGATACAGGTTTTGAGGGGGAGAAGTACAAACACACTCAGAGAGACGAACAAACTCAGGCTTGCCCGCGCGGCACCCCGCACGTGGCGCTGCAGGAGCCGGCCGTGTCTGCATCACCCTCTGCGACGCCGTCAACCATTACCCCGTCCGTGGCGGCGGTAGCGGGGATGGCAGAGTCGTCATCCGGCTCGATGTACCATGCGAAAGTAAACCAGTGCAGACCTGATGGGGCGTCTTGCAGGCCAGTTTGAGGCTCGGTGTTGACAATCACGATATGCAGACGGCCATGATACTTCGGATTGACCAAGGTGCGATAGAAAAAGGACATGGCCATGTTGAGCGGCATCGGGCTATGGAGCCAGGCCGGCGACTGCGGCCCGTTTGCCTGGTTCTCATATGCGGCGCCCTGCACATCTAAAGCCATGGCCGACGCCCCCCCCCAGCAGCAGCACTCTGCCTGTGGGGGGTGCTGGCATCTCTGTACAGACAGCAGTTGCAAGTAGCATGCGTTCCAGTGGCAAGAATTTATGGTCGGCATCAAAATCAGTGGTCTCACCGGCGGGCCCTCCTACTGCCAACCGGGCTCGAAGGCGCGGTGAACACAACCGCCTCGAGCGTACCGCTCAAACACGAGCCGAGGGTGGAGGGGGGGCGGCGGCGAAGAGGCGGGAGAGCTGGGTCCGTGCGCTCTGCTGCTGGGGGGGGGTCGGGACCTCGCATGGAGCACCCCCCCACCCCTAGCAGCAGGGATGGCTTAAGGTAAGGTAAGGTAAACGTCTCCACACACACAAAGTGGTGGGGCAAGGGGGGGCGACCCTCGCATCTCCACGCCCGGGACACGGGCAGGAGCCCCACGGCATTCAAAGTGCAAGCACCGGCCCGGTGCCGTGGGTGAGCAACCTGCACCCCCCCACTCCCTCCCTCCCAGACACAACCCGCACACAACCCCCACAGCGTGGTCGTCTACGTGTTCAGAAACACCAAGCAGCGAGGCGAGGGTGAAGGGGTAAGGGGATGTATTTAGATGTGCAGGGAGGGTACCGAGCAATGTGCGGCCGCTCCGACCGTTATGGGCCCAAGAAAGCCGTCAGTTGGGCGCTTGAAAGTTGGCTACGTCGAGTTTTGGATCTCGACGCGCGTCGATTTTTGGTGAACGATTTTTCGCTTGGGGTCGGACACTGCACTCCAAATGCTCCAAGACGCAAGAGCTCGTCTAGGAGCTCGTGCCGTCGTACCCAGTCTCCGCCACTTTCTTTTCGCCTTTTCCGCTCGGTTCCCCTCTGCTCTCTCCCGCCACCTCTCGGGTCCGGCAACCTCAAGCGCTGCGAGGCGAAGCGCCGAGCGCCGACAGCTCCTCCTCCAAAGCGTCGATCGCGCCCGCGTGTGGCGTGGCGTCGTCGATCGCGATTCGCAACGCCGCGGCGCTGTCCGCGCTCACGAGGTGCTGCAGCGCGGCCAGCGCCTCGCGCTCCGATGCCCTCCGCCTCCGTCGCCTCCGCCTCCGCCGCCCGCCGGATCAGCGCCGCCGCGTGGCACTCGCGTCCTCACTCGGCCTCAGCGCGCCACCACGTGCGGCAGCACGTGCTCGCGCCACACGTCGGACAGCGCGCTCCAGTCCG